CTAAAAAGATTAATTGCTGGTGGCCCACTGAGAGACTAAGATATTCAAGTGATTGGAAATATTCAGAAAAATAAAAAGAGCACACAATTTTATTTGAAGCAGGAAAAATATTAACTGATTTAAGAATGTTAGAAGTGCTTCCAGTTGAACAATGTATGAATTTTTCACTAACGTTAATGTTTTTTATTTAATTTTTTAAAATTTCTTTTGAGTACAATAGTTACTATGATTCATATTTAAATATTTTAATTTCAGATATAATTTTCCCTTAAGAAAAAGAGGTGTGCTGAATACTTTAGTGTGATTTTTAAAAATTACACCTCATAGCAGTTTTTCATAACTAATTTTAAGGTGGAAGTAATGAAAAAATATAGTTCACTTTAAAGAAATATATTTTATTTCACATTTTGCTGAAACATGTGATCTAACTAATGGAAATTAAATATTTTTAATTAAAACTACTAATATAGATGTGGCATTTTATATATTTATATATTATATTTATATATTAATATATAACATCATCTTTTTCTTCCTGACTAAAAGGTAAATTTTAGATTTAACATAGAAAAATTTTAATACATAGGAATTAGCAACCCAATTGTGAAGTATTCTGACTTTTTAAATTAGAATTATTTCTTTATTTTTAATCCTAAATAATAATATGAGAATTCAAGTATACTTTATGGAATAACTTAGATTTATTAATTTGTATTTTTGTATTATGGTCTCATCCACAGAAATTTAAATTGGTACATTCTTGTTCACAATGAATTAAAACTAAATTTATGATGATACTATGATGTAGATAAGCTTGACTTTTTTTTACAAATGAGAAAGGAAGTTTGACAAAACTAAATAAATTGTCCATGATAGTATAGTTGGTAAGTGAATGCAGAAATAGGATTTGAACTTAGATTAGTCTAATACAAAACCTATGCTCTAATAGGTTGCAACTCAGGCAAATAGTCAGTGGCTAATGAGCGAGAGGAGGGGATGTAAGCAGACATAGTCTATTTGACCCGGGCAGTGAGTAGATAAACAATAGCCAATATTTAAGAATCTGCGTATACTAGTCAAGCATTGGGTAAGCTGTCAGCTTTCATTCTGTCACTTACTGGAGAGGAGTCCTCTACAGTGAGTGGCACTCTCTGTGCCTCAACTTTCTACTCTCTTAAAAGACAATAATGAAAGTATAAGATGGTAGATGTACAGCACTTAGAACAATGCTTAGCTCATAGTATAGGCTAAATCAATGTTAGCTAGCCCACAAATCTTCTTTAAGTGTCTTGTACATATAAGACACCAGGATTACATAGTGAGGCATGTTAGGAGCACTAACAATGAAAGTGGTTTGATTCTTCATATCTATGAGGTTAACAGGCATTACATACATGAGTTCATGTGCAGCATATCCTATGTGCTGTAGAAGATCGTATGCCAGGAGGGTCCAGCCCCTTGGCGAGGGATTTCAATAATTATGCCCTATTATTTGGGTCAGTATTAACTGGGAGAGAAGGACACAAACAAGGAGAGTTGAAATTAGTATATGAGGCACAAAAACAAAACAAAACTGGAGATCCTATGGAGAGATGGGATCTTGAGAAGGAGGCAGAAGCCTGGTGATCAGAACCAGGTCAAAGTCAGGATCATCCAGCAGCAGTGAGCTGGGATGAGACGTCCCAGCATGCGTGACCAGGTAGAGCCATGAGGAAAGACAGCTGCAGCACCTGAGAACCCAAGAGGGCATGAGACCTTCCCCCATGGAAGATCCTGCAGTTTTCTGAGACTCGGACCCCGTGGCTTAGCCCAATTAATCTCTTAAACTGGGTCATTGCCCTAGGTTTCACAGCAAGCATGAGCCTGGCAGCCAAGGCCCTTTAAACACTGGCATCAATGAGAAAAAGCACTGGAAAGAATCTGGTTTCTTTCAAGTTCTGAGAACAACAGATTCCCTTCTGGGCATGCTTTAAAATCTGTTACCATCATCAGGTAATTTTACAAAGCAGAGCAGTTAAAGAACTAGTCAGAGGTGCCTCAGCCATTTCCCAGATGGCCAGGGAGATGAAGACAGAAGGAAGAGTACTGCTTCATCATCATCAGAAGGGCCACCGCACCTGCCCTTGATGCTTGGTCATTAGCTTGTGTGGTCAGTGAACCCAGGCAGGCCATGACTGTTAAGGAATGCATGCTCCAGGAGTTGCAGAAACTTCTGGATTTATTTATGTCTAGGAAAAAGAACAAGACCCATGGCACCACCCTTACCCACACCCACACCCATCTGCCTCTGAAAGGGCCATATATGTAAGGTTAGCCTTGGGTTAGGGTAGCCATGGGAAATTATGCAACCTCCACCTACCATCTGCTTCCATCCCCTGCAATGAAAGAAGGAAAGTTGTATCCCAGCACATGTGTGGGCTTTGCCATTGACAAAGGGTAAGGGAGCACTCCAAAATTCGTTCCTTGTAGGACTCAGAATATGGATTAATAGAGCTTCTTAACACTTTGTTTTGCCAAGAAGTCGAAAATATTTTCGAAACCTCTGATCTTTCTTTTTTTTTATTTTTTTTAATTTTATTTTTAAAAAAATTTTTTTTTCAACGTTTATTTATTTTTGGGACAGAGAGAGACAGAGCATGAACAGGGGAGGGGCAGAGAGAGAGGGAGGCACAGAATCGGAAACAGGCTCCAGGCTCTGAGCCATCAGCCCAGAGCCTGACGCGGGGCTCGAACTCACGGACCGCGAGATCGTGACCTGGCTGAAGTCGGACGCTTAACCGACTGCGCCACCCAGGCGCCCCAAACCTCTGATCTTTCATTTAAAAACGACTATTAATTCTTTCAGGTCATAAAAACACCACTTTAAAAAAAGCAGGTAATGCGGAAATGGATCCTAGCAATTTGAATGGGTTCAACCTGTGCCAAAACACAAGCAAAACAGGAAAGACAGTTGGGTCAGATGCCATGGGTTGTTAATCCTCACATTTGCTCTCGCATATGACTTTGTGGCATATATTAGCATCCCCATGTTACTTACAAAGAAATGAAGCATGAAGAGATTAAATACATGATAAATATCACATGATATGTAGGTCAGCAGAGTAACCAGGAAAAAAAGCTCACGATACAGACTTTCCATCTAGTACTCCTTGACCTCTTACCACCTTCAGGAACAACCAACCTGTCCTCTTTGCAGTCCATTCTCTTGATTCACTGGAACAGCTTGCTTCCTTTTCATGGCCCTGAGCCAAATGTCCATCTCTCTGTGCATGATGTAGGTCATCCCAGAAAATGGATTGGTTTGAATGTATGTAATTGAGTTGTCCTTTTCCCTCTCAACCTGCCTTTCACAATTATGAATGAAGAATGTATATCCTCTGCATATCTTCCCCCAACCCTGAGTTTGATGTTCATTATTCATTGCCTGTTTTTATGCTTTTTCTGTAAATTAATATATCTACAAATAATGTGTACTATTTTTAGGTTATCTTCAACTTCATATAAAATGGAGACAGTTTTATATATTTTACATGATTTGAAAATTATATGTATTTGTATGATTTGAACACTATATATTTCACATGATTTGAACATTATTGTTATATAATTGATTATTATATATTTACATGTACATGTTACATACATAATATATGTTTTTAAAGTATACATAACTCTTATTCATTCATCTGAACTACTGTGTAGTATTCCAGTGGTGAATAATATATTTATCTGTTTTGTAGCTGAACATTAAAGCTATTTGGGTAAATTTCTCCAGTAGTCAGTTTAGAAGATAACTTGCTAGGTCATAGGATATGTACATTTTGACTTGACTAGATTTTGCAAATTTTTCTTCAAGGTGATTTTATCATTTTACAAGTGCCCCTTTCTCTACATTTTTTTTTCAACGTTTATTTATTTTTGGGACAGAGAGAGACAGAGCATGAACGGGGGAGGGACAGAGAGAGAGGGAGACACAGAATCGGAAACAGGCTCCAGGCTCTGAGCCATCAGCCCAGAGCCCGATGTGGGGCTCGAACTCACAGACCGCGAGATCGTGACCTGGCTGAAGTCGGACGCTTAACCGACTGCGCCACCCAGGCGCCCCTTTCTCTACATTTTTAATAACAGTTTTTATTGCCAGACTCTTATGTTTTCCCATGCAGATGAATTCAAAATAGACTTCAGTTTATCTTTAATTTGCTCATTCTTGATTATTAGTGTGGTTGAATTTATTCTGTGTGTTTACTGACCATTTAGATCCCCTCTTCCATGCATTGCTAGTTCCTTTATCTGTTTTTCTATTGGACTGTTTGCTATTTTATTATTGATTTTGGAGGATTTATTTACATATTCAGGTACTAACCATTTGTCAGTCATATACGTAAGTGTAGTCCATTCCTAAAGAGCTAATTGTTGTCTCCAGAGTTTACCTTGCACAAAAATTTTAATAAGCAAGTTAAAAATAAGATATAGGTAAGAAAGTTGCCATTTCCATGAGTCTGTGAGTTCAGGAAGAGCATTACGAGTGCCACATTTTCATCATTTCCTTATTTGTTTCTTTCAAGTTCAGAGAGTTAAGTATAGGCCACCTAGTTTTGTGTTTAACAATGTGTGTGTTTGATTGCAGAGTGGGTAGTTTAGAATAACTCCCATCTGAGGAAGGACCAGTTTTGAGAGTGATTAACCTCCAATTATTAGATCTAATAGACTGCATATCTTCCACTGAAACAGAAAACGTTAGACACCGAATGCATCTCAGGCCATGACTCCTCAGAGGAACACACAAAATGAGCTCTAGGCAAAGGCATAAGGCATGAAGGAACAATCCATCCCAACTTAATATCTCAAGTATTTTACTACCAGGAAAATCCCTACTCATGACACAAGTCCCCAGACTCAGATAACCAAGGAAAACATGAGAAGTAGAATAATGTTATGCTGATGTCAGGTTGCATAGACACATTACCTTGGGAACACTGATATAAAATCTGAAAATAATTATGGCTTTCTTTCTATTTCAGAGGTGTGGTGAAATCTTGTTTGAAAACCCTGATCAGAATGTCAAATGTGTTTGCATGCTAGGTAAGAAGACTTCTCGTTTTAGATATATTAAGTATGTGGATGTTCTATGGACTTGCTGTTCTTCTGTTGCCTTGCTGACTGTCTCTTGTTGCATATTGCAGAGGCTTATAGGCTTTTTTATGGGTTTATAGACAGGTATAATACATGTATATTGGAACATTTGATGATAAAAAAAGGTTTTTATTTTATTAACTGTCAGTAAGTCAGGAATCATGCATCTGAGCATTTCAGAATTTTTCTTGGTTCATCAGCATAACATAGAATTGGGTGCTTTGTATTCACACAAATGTGATGAAAAAGTAAGAATCACACTGCAATTCCTAAACTGGAAATGATAAGTTAGGTAAGTAAACTATGAAGAATTTCTATCACAGCACAAAGCTCTTACAGTGCCTGGGAGAACTATAAATGTGAACTAATCTACAGTTACCCACAATGCATTTGTAATAAAATTACAACACTGTAATGAAAAATAATTTGTTCTTGTAGGATGATGTATCATCAATGCCTTTCACAAACTCTTAATATATAATATTCCAGTAAGAAATGAAGTGGATATTATTTTCTTCATTTTATAGGTTAGTAAACTAGTATAGAGAATATAAGTGATGCACTTAACCTCAAAGTGAGAAATAGTCCAAATTATGACGTGAACATTTTTAAAATGTAAAGTTTTAGGTACAGTGTTTAGATCTTATTTCAATCACTAAACCCCGTCCAATTAACTTTCAGTTAATTATTGAAATAGGACAAAAAACAGTAGCTTAGATAAATAAAAATAATCCTTAAATTTGACTTTCACCAAAATTTTACCCTGTCCACTCCAACTTTGAACAACACTGATTAGCAAAGAACAAAAGTATTCATTTTAGCTTCTTCCATTTTCTCTGGCTAATTCAAATATTGGCAGCTAGCTTATTGGTGAGATGACTCAAAAGCAGTCAGCAAGATAGAGGCATAGGAAGGTCTTGGTAATGTATAATCCAAGATAATCAGGTAATAATAACCAAGGATTGCTCATGACTTGAAAAACAAGCCAAAAATACAAAAACAAAAAAAACCAACAAACAAAAACAGACACCATATTTTCCTAGTCTTATGATCCTCATTTTCTTGTGCTAGTGTTTTAAACCTGTTGCAGTTCCTATATGTTTTCATTTTAATTAAGATGGTAACCATCAAGTAACTCATCCATTGTCAAATGAATAGTGCATAACAATGAACATAGCATAGCATCCATACAACCATTTCAAATATCCAGTATTCCTATCCTTTAAGCATGAAAATGCCTCAAAAATGCTGATAGATATAGATAGCTAGGTAGATAGGTAAGCAGAAAAAAATTCCTTTGTCCAGCTATTAACCTTAGATTTGGGAAAACATTTCATCACCACATCAAATCTATTCATCAATTAACTTATTTAACTTTCACAATAATAAAATGAAGTTTGTGCTAGTGTTGTCCTCATTTTATAGTTAATAATAATTGAGGCAAATGGTTAAATAAGGTACCTTAATACCATTAAGATATTGTATGATTATGGCTTCTACCTAATCTAGTAATTTTAATCATCTTTTTAACTTCTAGTGATTTTAAGCACATGAGCACATCATCTATTTTGCCTGAATTTTCCTTTGTCCTGGTTTCTCTGTGAGTTACGTGTTTCGTTTATAGCTACGACAGGGACAGCAATAGACTGTTTTCTACTGCCTATAGACTTGTTCTCACTTAAAGTAAGGCCAATTATCCTTCCATCTCTTCTGGATTCTATGGAATGGTTTATATAGCTGCCAGAAGACATTCCTGGCCACGAAGTGTATCCCAGTGAATCCGCCACATTATACAACATTCAAAAATTAGAAATATACTTACATTAATCAGTTCTATATTACTTTTACTGTCATAACAATTATAATTAATTAAACGATTAAATATGTGAGAGGTGGAGTCTATCCTAAACATCTTAGATCATTTATCCTAAGCAAATTAAGGCATGATCTCTCTTTCAAAATATAAATGTCCTTGGCAATAGCAGTATATTATCAAGCTTGTAGATTTCATTAGTTTATTAGATTTCTATTTTCTTAGTGATAGGGAACTAAATAATATAAAGTAATTGTAAGAATGGAAGTTTTTGTTAGTTTTGAGGGCACAGGAAAAATAAAGATGGAATAGGAAGAACAACGGTGCATTTTACCTTTAAAATAGATGGTAAATATTTATTTGGTGTCAAAAATAATACCACGTCTAGAGACCTTGATTTATTCACATAGTGAAAATTGTGCCTTCAAGGAGCTTACATCTAAGAAGGCTTAGGCTTTTTCCTACTTATCTGTTTAAGAGGATTGCTACAAAATTTAATTGAAACATTTACACAGTCCTTTGAAATCTTAGATGAAAGAGAATACCAAAATAAAATTGTTATGGATATCAATACACATGGATCAACCCACCATTAGCAGGTGTCCACCTGAAGCCCATGGGCTGCCATTTCACAGCAACACTGTACAAGTTAATAAGAGGAGAAGTGAAATCAAATGGTTTATTCCCTTAAAACAAGAGAAAATCAAGTTACTAACATGTAACTCCTGTAACTGAGACCATATCATATTTCATCAGGAAAGGGCATCTGTATTCACACAACAGGAAAACACCTCTTTACCATTATCTGAAGTATTTGTTGCTTCCTTTGAAAGGAAACTGCGATCATGCCCTTATGGCTTCTTTTTTTTTTTTTTTTTCAACGTTTTTTTATTTATTTTTGGGACAGAGAGAGACAGAGCATGAACGGGGGAGGGGCAGAGAGAGAGGGAGACACAGAATCGGAAACAGGCTCCAGGCTCCGAGCCATCAGCCCAGAGCCTGATGCGGGGCTCGAACTCACGGACCGCGAGATCGTGACCTGGCTGAAGTCGGACGCTTAACCGACTGCGCCACCCAGGCGCCCCGATGCCCTTATGGCTTCTTAAAGCATTTCTTGAGAAAGCGTTATACCTCCAACAGTAAAGGATATTCTTTGATATTTTAAGGGGCTATTAACTTTTCTAAGTATTGCCAATCATGAGTGTAGTTTATATTTTTGCAGGTAATGTATAATGTTTTTATGAATAAAGCAAAATACCTAGACAAGGAAACCAAAGATATAAAGTCTGCATTTCCAAACCTTCATCTCTCATCTTTTTGCCACCGCAGAACTGAGTTCCCTAAGGGAGGCCAACCTGAGACATCCCACAGCTTTAAATGGTGAAGTTGGGCTCACTTTAACCCTTAAAATCCCCCCCTTTTCCCACTCACATGCCAGATTTGGGGTGCCTGCCCAGTTCCCAGCTGTGATCTGGTTTCCACACAGTTGAGACAGAATTTGGAAGAGGGTCACTAGCCAGGGACACCATTTATAGTTCCTTCTCTTCCAGTAGTGTGTCTGCGGATCATTATGAAAGATACTTTGAGTATATGTGTTAAGCTGTGTATCTCACGACTTCCATAAATAAGTTATCCTCACCAAAGTCGTGCTTCTGGCTTATTACATTAAGTGAGACATCAGTGTAAAATTCACCTTGAGTTACTTTGAAACACCAATTCAATGCAGTTTTAAGTAGAAGCAAACTACTATCATGTATAGGTCTGATAGGATGATGAGTTACTAAAAGGATTTGACCTTTTAAATATAATGAATCAAACTGATTCACAAAGAACCAAGAGTATTTTAAAAAATTATATAAAGTGAGCAATGTTGAATCATTTCTTAGTCCACTTGCCAACCTCACTCTGTGAAATGATAAATCTTGGGGAAAAAAACTTTCAAAAAAGCATTCCCCATCAGACTCGATGCCTCTTGCAACTGCTTCTTTCTCCTTATTCCTAGAGTGAGATTCTCTTAAATAGTAAGCTTTAATTTGTTGGGGGTTTGGGGGGGGGGTTGGGGTGAGGGGAGTGGTTCTAATTTTTTTAATTATTTTATTTGAGTATAGTTGACACACAATGTCACATTAGCTTCGGGTGTTCAACACAGTGATTCCACTTCTCTATACATTATGCTATACTCTCCACAAGTGTGGCTACCCTCTGTCACCATACAACATTATTACGATATCACTGACTCTATTCCCCCAGACTGCGCCTTTTATTCCTATGACTCATTCATTCTGAAACTTGAAGCCTTCATCTCCCAGGCCCCTTCACCCATTTTGTCCATCCTCCACCCCCTGCCTCTGGCAAGGATCAGTTTGTTCTCTGTATTTATAGGTCTGATTCTGCTTTTTGTTTGTTTGCTTCTTCATTTGCTGTGTCTTTTAGATTCCACATATGAGTGAAATCATATGGCGTTTGTCTTAGTCTGACTGATCTCAGCGCAATATCCTGTAGGTCCATCCATGTTGTTGCAAATGGCACAATTTCATTCTTTTTTGTGGCTGCATAATATTCCATTGTGTATGTATACTGTATCTTCCTTATCCATTCATCTGTGAATAGACATTTAGGTTGCTTCCATATCTTGACTATTGTAAATAATGCTTTAATAAACAGGGGTGCAGATATCTTCTTAAATTAGTATTTTGTTTTCTTTGGGTAAATAGCCAGTAGTGGGATTACTGGATCATATGGTATTTCTATTTTTAGTTTTTTGAGGAACCTCCCTACTGTTTTCTACAGTGGCTGCCCTAGTTTGCATTCCCACCAACAGTGCATGAAGGTTCCTTTTTCTCCACATCCTCACCAACCTTTGTTATTTTTTGTCTCTTTTGATTTTACCTATTCTGACAAGTGTAAGGTGAGATCTCATTGTGGTTTTGATTTGCATTTTCTTTAATCTGTAACTTATGGTATTTTGTTGGCTCGACTTCTCCAACCTCTTTATCAAGGTTTAAGTTTATAATTTTTCAAGGTTTGAAATTTTCAGTGATCCTTCTTTTGTTTCATGCATGATTTTTTTCATGGTGATTGGTGCTTCGTCATTGAATGTAAAATATGCACTTGTTTTTACCTGCATGGTTTTTTG